CCCCAAAACCCCAAAACCCCAAAACCCCAAAACCCCAAATTTCGAGTTAATAATTGTAATAATTGTTTTATTTTAAGCTGCAGTTATGGAGAGCATCAAGGTCACGAATAAAAAGTACCGTCCTTATGGGCTTAGGGTCTTACCGAAGTTTTATTCAGGTTAGAAAGATACAGCAGAATATGCAGTGGATTTAGATGTAGTCTTGGAAATTTATACGTGTTATGAGGTATTCAAATTTTACCACTTTGTGACTAAATGGAATAGAAGAATTTTAATTTATTTGTAAATGATCGAAAATTTCAATTTTATTTAAAGGGAATCGACTCTTTAGATATCTCATTAGTCAAGGTAGTTTAAATAGTGTAACAGTTAATCATTATTATAAATATCTGTTATTAATTTCGAAATGACCAAATTATCATTTCTAGGATCTTAGAAGATCATTTCATGTCTTTATCCTGCTTCAAATTTCTTTCAAAATATAACTCTTTTCAGCCCAAAGGCTTTCAAGCCTGCAAAATACAAACTCCTTGCAAAATACTCAGAAGATATCAGAGAAGACAACAAAAGGAGGCATTTGGCTTATATCAGGAAGCTTCGACATATGAAATATGCTAGTGGGAAGGTAAGGATCCCACCTTACTTTTGACAGTTTATTCAAGCTAAATATAATTTAAATCTAGAATTTTAAGAAACTTGAATTGGCTCCTTGAGACTCTTCCACAATGTTTCCAAATGAAGAGAATAAGGAGCACACATATCAAGAGAAATTTGACAAGTATTATAAGGAGTTTAGAGAAGAACGCTTGAGAAGAGAGAAGGGTGATAAGGGCATCAAGACTGTAGGCTTCAACCTAGGTGGCCGGAAACTCTCAGAAACACGCACTGTCAAGGATCTCAGTAGGAATAAGGCTAAGCATAGAAGGAAGAAGAGGAAAATGGTGTCTGTTGATGAGACTAATTCAGGTAATACTACTATGTACCACTTCACCACTCCTAATCAAAATTTTAATACGAATGCTGGCAGAGAGTTGCCTAAAATTAATAAGAGTCTGAATTATCTTGAGTCATCCAGAGAGAGGATTACTGATAGGTCTATCAAACTTCCTTCTAAGAATATGGTGCTTAATTATGGCTCTGAAGCTACTCATGAAGGGTCTGTTACTGGAAAATTCGGTAAACTTCCAAAATTACCTGAAAGGTACAAGGCTAAGAAGAGTTCTATATCCAATCAAAAATTAACTTCTCATGATATTCTAAATATGAAAAATGAGAATTTTGTGTCCCAGCAGTTAACGCTAGACCCAAATGCACTGATTGATGCTGCAAAGGAAGCTATGAGGGAGAATAAAAATCTAAGTTTCAACATCCCTGATACTCACAAACTCAGAGACACAACCAGTGATAGAAGTGAGGCAATGAGTAAGAGGGCAGTTTCTGTAAAGAGCATTCCTATGCCTAAAGTGTCTCCATTCACTAAGTCTATCCCTATTAAGAAGTACGGAGTCAAACTTTTCGATGAGGAGGATGAATACCTGTGCAAATGCTTTAAGACAATGTGTGCACAGAATGCGGGTGAGAATATCAGAAACTTTAGGCTAAACCGTGTAAGTTTCAAGAACTATTTATCAAAGAGGTATAACAACAAGATTGCAGAGACCATAGTGTGCTGATTTGACTTCTCAATGCCTTGGGACCATGTTAACTACTTTGAAGGTCTCGAAGTTTTTGTGAATAACCCAAGGGATTCCTTACTCAAGCTCATCTTCCATTGTCTTGATAACAATGCTGATGGGTATATTTCAAATGTTGATTTGTTCGTACTGATGAAAACACTTGATGGAGATATCTTCGTAGATGTTGTAAGTAGGGATGTAGTTGACATAGTTCGGTTCCTAGAGAAATAAACTGAAGGAGAAAGGACTAGATGACCCAATATTAAACGAAAAGAGACGACTTGAAAAAGAATTCCTCCAGCGAAAGAACTTAAAGTATCGCAAACTCCTCGGAGCAGAGTCACCTGATGATGATTACCAATCCGATAGCATCTTTAAACTTTCAGCTCTAGAGAAAATGGGGAATATTGTTGAAAGTCACTCTTTACATGAAGTCAACCCAGCTAAAACACAGAAAAACACCAAAAATGAAGACACGCCTGGAGAAGCATTAGAACCTAAGAAACCCAGAAAGTTTGGAGTCAAGGATATCTCATATGAAATCTGTGAGAGTGATGAGACGACTATGAAATGTTCACTGGAAGAATACCTTAAGTTTATCACAACCGGGAAACTTCCTGACTTACTTATTGATATTTTTACTTATCTTGGTGCTAAGAAATACGTAAAACATGTCATTGAAGGGGGCAAAAAGAAGAACCTCAAGACCATAGACTCTAAAGAGACCTCAACTCTTGATAAGAGAGGGAAGATCAAACGGCAATCCACCATAAAAATTGATAGTGAGCTGGAAAAGTGGAGAGAACAGCTTGGAGAGGAAACTGTTGCTAATTTTATTAAAGCCTTTACTAAGCTATCTATTGATAAAAAGAAACCTGAAAATGAACTAACTATTAGTTTGGAATCGGTAATATAGAAAGCTTCGAACCAATTTTCGGAGTGAAAAATGACTTCTTAGCGAAATGAATATACTACTTCCTCACAGATGGCTACCCACTCAAAGATATAAGAATCACTAATTTCATAAAGAAATTTCTCGGCTTTGGCACAGGAATGAAGAGGGATTTCTACAATTTTATATTCGATTTTCTTGATGTGAATAAGGACCAGCAGGTTACAATGATTGATCTGATCTTCTTCTACACATATTTGCCTAAAAATACACAATTTGGAACAGAGATCGCTGATTCAATAGAACTGTTTTCAAAGAAGTTTATCCTTAATAGAGGCAGGAGACCAGCAGAGATCAATATAGAGGTTTTTAAGCTAATATTTCCAGAACTTCCTTGCTTTGTAACTGAAATTATGAACAAATTGTTCCAAAAACCACAGACTATTGATATGAAGTCCTTGAATGTGGTCAATGGAGTAAAATCAGCACTGATGGTTGATACAAGCCTTGATAATGAGAAGAACCCTGATCTGTTTTATGATAAATTTGATGTGGATTTCTCCATGAATGCATATCATGTTGAGAAATCCTCTAAAGAGTAATAGTACAATACATAATTTTCAACAGATTATTGAATAAATGGGGTTTTGGGGTTTTGGGGTTTTGGGGTTTTGGGGTTTTGGGG